TTAAGGGTCCAGCATTAGGCCAAGTGAAATAATGAACCATCTTTACCGTTATGTTGGATACTCAGCCTTGTTGCAGCTTAATGTAATCCTTGTTTTAGATTTGTCCAAAATTATTTTCTTTCCTATCAACCTCAGTATGTAGTCCAGACTTCAGATTTCACTTTAGTTACCCTTATGATCAAGCCATCTTTCCTACCAAAAAAATCAGTATACAATTCACCTCTATTGCCACATGTTGAAATAGATCTTTTTCTGCCGACCTATCTCTCTCATGTTTTTTCCCAACTGCTAGAAAACTCCTGATTTTCTTCTCTACCCTCAGCCTTTCATCCTGACTGTTAGTACACAGGCCTGTCGGAAGGTATAAAACAGTGGGGGGCACCAGTGTTTTCCATCCTTAGGTGATCGATTTTTGTGAAACCATGGCATGGGGTTTGGGGCCTGCTCAAGGGCCCCAGGAAATTTTGGATTCTAGATGCTCTCTGATGCAATCTTGGGGACTTTCCGGGCCACTTGCTTGTGTAATTTGGCCCGAAATCTGCTTGTATTTACAAAAAGAAATAATGAATAGAATTTTCAGTAAAACCGTATAATATACATATACGTACTGTACATGTATTTCCTTTGCCTCATGTTTGAACAAATTGCAATTGAATCTACCAAATGGTGGTATTTAATAGCTTCTGGTAAGACAGATCTCCGGAAAATAATCAAAGAAATGGAAAATGTCAATTTTACGACAAAGGATTTATGAAAAAAAATATCGTTTTTACCTACATGTAGCTTTGTGTCTAATTTTCACAATTTGGCCAGGTTTACCTTCAACTACCAGTAACTTAGATGCCACAAGAAAGATTAATAACTCTTATGTTCAAAAAAAAATCTCTTTATGAGTGTGTGGTTCTGAGAAGAACCGATGGTGAACACTTGATGTTCTGAACAGTATGCTCTGTTCATCTTTAGGAGGTTGACTGGTTGCCAGGCTCTGAGGATGCTGGTTTTAAGCAATGGAGAGGATGCTAAGGGCGCACTGGAGCAGAACGGCTTGCTTGATGGTGAATCCTCTGGACTGAAAGGTATACTGTTCGGAACGTTGAGTGTTCACCATCAATTCTTCTCAGAGCCACATTCCCATAAAAGAGATATTTTCTTGTGCATGGTGCAACCGCAAGCCTAACCTAGTTTAGTACTTCCACCATGCATAGCTTCAAGTCTTAGCTATGATCAAAATACATGTAGTTTATTACTTCTAGGCAAAAAACTTTCTTTTTTAAAAATTCACTTCATTGGGACCCATTTTTGTCATTTCCGTGTTTTTCAACTACTGTCAGACTGTGGTAATACTTAGTGCCCGATTTTCACACTTTAGTCGAATTCCCTTCAGGTCAATGGTGATATTGTCTGGAAGACTGATGACATGTTTGTATCCGTTGGTTATTTCTTCAAGATCGAGAGCCATTTGTCTGAAATGAGGTTCGTTTTTCAAGCGGATTCAAATTTCCGCACCGAGTAGGGCATGTAAGACAGCGATCAAAAATGAGATGTCCGGATTTGGGGCATGGCATACACGCACACACACCTGGACACGAATGCGTTTCGGTACGAGTCAACTTTTACTGCATTGCATATGTACAATGATGTCAAAGTACCCAACTAAAAGGCACAAACAAAAACTTTCCATTCTCATTTATATGGCTTCCTTCTTGCATGATACTCCTGAACTATTCACAACAGAGAAATGTCGGGGGGGTCATGTGGTCATGTACATAAACATGTACCTGTACTTAAGGAATATAATAACTTACTCTAGAGTGGTTGGTGACCTTGCTTTTTTCAAAAAGAAGTCAAAGATAAACAAAGAAATCTGAGCCCCTTTCCCAAAATACAAGTTCAAATACATTTCGGACTGAAACAAGTTTATTGGGCTGGAATTGTGGCACGCATAGACTGCAAATGCATTAAGAACATGTGAAACGTGTCAGCTCCCCATACACACTCTATACAGCGTGTGACCACAAACCAGTCGACTCAGGTACCTACAGGTACATGTAGTACCTGTACATGTATGTGCGTGTATGGGTACCTGCATGTAAGGTACGTTGCAGTTAACCTGGGCTCACGCTGTGTACATTAAGTAAGATGGAGAACGAACTATGTGCATAGAGACACATTGCTCGCTGCATGTAGAAGAAAACTGGAGCGCGATCGTTCATGAAATATGACTGACGAGGTGGCGACCAACGGGCACGAATCATGGTCGCCATTGGTGATAAGAGTTAAACATTTGGTCACATTTAATTATTTTTTAGGCGCAAATGTGACTGTTTTGGTTTTTTGAATCAATAAATATTTTTATCTGCCTAAAGTTCCATTTTCCTGTGATTTAATAAAGTACCAAAATTTACAATGAGGCAGCTAAGCCATCTATGCATTTTCTTCTACTTGTTCTACTTGAAACTGAGATACTACGCTTGCGCATTGACATAACAAAAGTAATTTATGGGATTAGCAATACATGTAGGCACAATGTGTACCCAATGAGCATGATCACATATTGACTCAAATGTGCACTTCGTACTTGAATTACCTTACCTGTTTTAAAATACCTAACTGGCTCTGTGGTCCCTTTTACACACAAGAAATATCTATTCACTTCTCGGTAAGAGGTTATCCACATGTGAGCTTGAGAGTTGAATTGGGTTAACTTACCGGTACATGGCAGAGGCCTTGACAGAGCTACTTCCTGGTAATGGCATATGGTTGGCAGCCTGCTGGCATTAGAAACTGGGATGTTGGGTCTGGATTGCTGTCAAGCCCAACGTGATGGCCTCCTCAAATAAATCCCCAAATATGCTGGATCTGGTGGGACAAAACAGTGGTGGTTATATTAGGAACTGATGTGGGTCTGACCTGAGAAGTCTCTCACAAAAGCTCAAAAAGTTGGAGAGAACAGATCACTGTAAGCGGAATAATGGCATATAATTCTTAGCACCACAACGGGAAAAAAGCATCAAAGATTTCATGCAAAGTAGCGTCCATGCAAATCAAAATTGAAACAAAACAACATCTCCATGTAATCCACTTCACAATTCTCTACAAAAACCATAAATTTGTTCGCTTGATTTGGGAATACGTAAAGACTTGGAGGAATGCAAGTTAGATTCTTATCCAGAGCCAAAAAGGTCAACTACGGTAAATACCTTCCAAAGGCTTAAATTTACATGTACATGTAGTTCAACATTTTAACTGAAAAGCATGAAATCTCACTTTTGCCTGAAAACTGCCATACTCAACTTAACCCTTTCTTACAGCAAGATGGGCATGAAACCTGCCAAGCTCAACTGGTAACTTACTGTTTGGACAACCAGGCTGAGTGGTCAAAGGCTAGCTCATGGCATCTTGTTCTTGAACAGGCCCACATGCTTGCAAAACTGCCTGATGGCATCTAGAGGGCAAACCTGGGAAACAAACATGAAAATCATCAGGATACTGCTTCTACATGTAAGTGCTTCTAAGTGCAGGATATGACTGGCAGTCTGACTGGAGAGATTTCAGTTTGACATTTCACACTTTCAAACATTTTAATAAATTCTTTCCATTGGGAACAACTGACAAATTCAGACAGGTGTGTCAAACCTTTGTTAAACTGACAAAGCAATGACAGTAAAAAATAGGGCTTCATATTTACATGTACTTTGTGGAAAAAACTACATACATGTACATGTATACACTGTAGGATCAACATCTGATATTTGTCCGTTGTCTTCCTCTCATACAGAAGCATCTGACTTTATGACTGTTAAAGCATCAAAGTGTACAGTGGAACACCGCTACATGTATACTGAACATTCAGCTGTACCGAACATTGTCCTTGGTTCCCAATATTTTGTGCACAAAACCTATTGAACACTATGCAGTTGCCAGGAAAAGTGGAATGTCACCCTGGGAGAAATCTTGGTTGTCAAAGTATCCTCATTGGCAAAGGGCAGTATCTTCAATTTTTTGTTTCCAATGGAGCACTGCACAGATTTGATGAGTTAGTTCCCACTGGAAGTTCCGAGCACTCTAAACATTTCTTCCTTTCAACAGAGAGGCAAAGTGAAGGAGATGTGACCAAGTCTTTCTATACCTGATGAGTGGTTCCATTGAGGAACTCCCAATGAGCTTTGACCCACCTAGCCTCAGTGTGGTAGTACCCCTGAGTCATCTCATAGAAAGCATTCTCCAGCCTGATGGTGTAATGCAACAGATTGTCCACACAGGGCAGGACAAAGAGGGACTTTGCAGAAAGCTCAAAGGCCGTGCACAGGGCTGCTGCTCGCTCGGCTGCTATCACATCTTCCCTTAGAAATGTACAGTAACATGTTTTGACAAGTTGGTTCCCGCAAGTTAGTTAGCAACCCTATGCACAGCTATGAAGACCGGTCCTTAAACAAAGAATAATTGCCAATTTCAACGGAAAATAAACAAGCAGAAAAGACAGAGACTTGTAGGGTGCCAATCTACGAAATTTGAATTTCTTATCACTTCTAACTGGACAACTTCAACACACATTATTTTTGGTTTGATGGGCACTAAAGTAAACACACGCACAAGACTCTAACTTGGCATGTAAACTGGGTGGCAAGGACTTTAAATCACAATCACTCTAAGTGATGTTGAATTATACATTACACCACTGTCACATAAAGAAATACAGAAAAAAATAGACGGAAAACATAATGACATAATGTAGAGTCTACCGCGGTGCATTTTGGGTGAAAGATGGGGATGTTGCAGGAACGCGTTGACGTGAAACATTATCTGTAACGTACATGTACACTATATGGCGTGTGTATCGACCTGACACGAAAAAAAGATAAAAAATAAAAAAATTCCCAATTATCGTCCGAAATGGTCCATGGTCCAATTCAAAAAACTCCTGATTATCGTATGAACTGCTGTGTTCCACTGTGAACATCAAGCACTCAACGAATGCCAGAGCTGCGTTTTTTAAAAACTTCAATGGGACCGCAAAAGGCAACAGATTTAGGCCATCAAAGCGAAGTCCATGTGGACTTTTGTATGCAGTCTACATTTTGTAGGCAGAGACAAAACTTAATATGTACCGGATCCAACGATTTTTCCATGGACAAGTGAGAGGGAGGAGGTTGTTTCGCAGCAAAATGAACAACAAAGAAGCTGTCTTTCTCTTCAGACATGATTTGGGAACTTCACACATGAAACTCTTTCTCATGCTTTTGCTGGTACAACTGAGGAGAACTATAACTTCTATGGAAATCTTTGCCTATTTTGCCATTTCATCTGTGAATGCTGATGAACTCAACTTAGCAAGGTTAGCATGCCAGCTCAAGCATGCATAGGGCCTACCTACATGTACATACACACAGGCATGTCGGGAGACAAGCCCGCTTTTGCACTGGTCCTAGTTGTTCACCGCCGCTTGCATATTGAACTCAAACTTGAAGTTTGTTTTGGCTGCAAAATTGGCAGTGGTTTTAGGTTTGCAGTAGCAGGAAAGCTTCTTCGTTGGTCATTTTGCCAGGAAACAACCTCCTCCTGCTCACTTGTCCATGGGAAAATTGTTGGATCCGGTACATCGTAAGTTTTGTCTCCGCCTACAAAATGTAGACTGCATGTATAGGTCCACTTCGCTTTGATGGCCTTATTTCTCACGGAACTTATCCAAAATGTGTTGCCTTTTGGAAGCTAAAAAACGCAGCTCTGGCATTCATTGAGTGCTTGATAAACACAATGGAGCACAGCAGTTCATACGATAATCAGGAGTTTTTTTAATTTTTTTTTTTGTGTCAAGTCGATACACACGCCATAGAGTATATATATACATTACACATAACGTGTCACATTT